GTTCTAAACCTATAACATTATATTGTTATAACCAAAGTGCATTATACATTGCATCAAATCCAATATTTCATGAGAAAATAAAATACTTAAAAATTAATTGTTATATTATAAGAAAAGGTTCAAGAAGGTCTAGCATATGTTGTCAGTTTCATTCTCTCACCAGCTTGCTAACATGTTTACTCTATGACATTACCACTTTGTCTCTTCAAGTCTAATGTATCCAAGTTGAAGTTGATAGATATTTATACACTTATAACTTGAGGAAGGCTAACAAAACAATGACCCAAACCTGTACAACCCAATAATTCTTAGCTCATTCTAATTCATATGTAAATATCTCATTAGTAAACATTTTCTATTATGATCCTAGAGTGATTATAGAATATTGTTTGGTAAAAGATATATATAACATTATATCTTTTTTTTTTTTATAAAATCAACCTATGAAATGTATTCTCAAATCATTACTTAATATCCTACATATCTTCTCACTTGTGTTCATTTGTTTTAAGTGAAGATAAACGTCTCTTACAGATGAAGTGAGTTTGTCTCTCATAGAAATCTCCTCTCATTCCCTTTGTATTTAAAGCTTAACTTGATCCTAAAATGTTAAGTGTTAAAAGTTTTGAGATAAAAATATATATATATATATATATATATATATATATATATATATATATATATATATATATATATATGGAGTGTTGGATTATATATATATATATATATATATATATATATATATATATATATATATATATATTATGGAAAGAAGGTACAAAATACTTTGCATATATTATAAACTACTACGTCATACTAAAAGAATCTGTTGTTCATGTCTTTAAAATAATACATAATCTTATCCTTTCAAGAAATGAAGATTGATAGTTTTAACTGATAAAAAAAATTGTAAAGTTCCATCCATCAGAATCAATATTTTGACATTGCTTGGCAAGGACCAAAGATATCTTGAATTTATTAGAAAATAATTTTTAACCTTCAAATTTGTAGAATAATATTTGAATTTTGGGTTTGACTCACTGCAAACAAATATCAACAAATGTTTGTTTATAATAAATATTATTTTTATTAATTTATTAAAATAAGAAAAACTTAATATAATTATAATTTGTTTATTTTTATCCATTGGTTATTTCTTTAATAAAATAATTTTTAAAAAATTGTATTTCCTCTAATACATAATAATGATAAATTACAAATAAAAATTATAACTTTAAAAAAAAATTATAAAATAAAGAATTTCCATGAAAACTCACACAAATAATTTTATATTTAATAAATATTATGACAATGTTATATTTTTGGCTTTAAATATTTATAAAGATTTCATAATTGTGAAATTAAATTATTTTATTATATTTAGAAATATAAATTAAATGAGATATTTATAAAATCAAATTTTATTTCCCATAAAGAAATTTTTGACCGGTATTCAAATTTTTCTTTAGTTTTAAAGAGATAAATGAAGAGAATAAAAAAAAAACAAGTTGAAAATAATAATAATAAAGAGAAAATAAATTATTATTATTATTATTATCATTATTATTTCCATTCATCTATACTATATAATAACCTTATATTTTACTATTTTTTTTATACAAATCATTATAATTTCATACTCGTTTTCCATTCCCTCAACCAAACAAATATTAATTTTTTTTACTGATTGAAAAGGAACTTTAATTTGTCATATTATAATTCTTTTCTAGCATAATAAAAATGTATAACAAAAAAAATAATCAACCTTATAAAAGATATACAAGAATATACATTAAAAAATCATATTAAATACTGCAAAAATTATCAAACATTTATTGATATATTTCTTAAGTTGGAACTAAATCTAGTTGTTCGTAATATTTATAGCATCTTAACTCATGCATAATTTTTCAAGTTTGTTTGTGAAAAAAAAGTGTAGAAAAAAAACATATATATATATATATATATATATATATATATATATATATATATATATATATATATATATATAAATCATTTATGAAATCATAATAAAATATTTTTTTATTTTTAAGTAATTATTATTAACAATTTCTTTTAAAGAGGTTGTTAGTCTTTTCAGATGAAGAAAATTGCATTCCTCAAATTATTGATGAAAAGTAGAATATTCAATCGAGAAAACTTAAATATAATTATTTCCATAATTAGAAGAAATTTTACACGGATCATTCACACAATACATGTTCAATTAAAAGTTAACATAGAAAAACTGTATTTTTAATCGGTGAATAATGCTAAAAATATGTTTGATATACACATTAAAGTACAAGATATATAACACAAAAAAATATAGTGAAGTTATAAAATCATTCTTTTGTGCTGATATTTATTTATTTTAAAACTCTTTTCTCTCTCTCTCTCTCTCTCTCTCTCTCTCTCTCTCATATATATATATATATATATATATATATATATATATATATATATATATATATATATATATATATATATTTAATACAGTTCAAATAGCCCCTAAATTTTTTCTTTTTTTTCATATATCCTTTATAAGTATTTAAGAAACTCCTTTTAAAGCTTCTCTATATTTAAAAGAAGCCTTGTATTAGCAATCTTCCTTGTTTTGTTCGTATGGGCTTCTGCGTTCTGCCCCTCTTGTCTAGGGTCTGTTAAGATATTTTAAAAATAGAATAGTAATGAAATAATAAATAATATCTAGAATATAATAATTAATTTTAGCAAAACATAATTAAAGTGGAAATAGTTATGAAGAAAAAGGAAATTTAAATTTGTCAAGTTATACTCTAATTATACATTTATCTTACAATTTACTTTAGCAAGATATTGAAGAAAAACATAAGAGTGTTCACATTTTCTTGCATATAATATGTAATATTAGTATAACTATGATATAATTTTAATTATTTAAATGTTGTATTTACTTTCTCCTCCAAAAATTATATTTTATCAAATAAGAATAGAAATAAAATTAATTATATATATTTTTATTCAATATAATGCAATTTGTTTCCTTTCACAGGAGCAAGGGAGAGGTGCATATTTATTCCCAAAGTTCCAAGAGTTAAGAAAAATAGCAAAAATAATATATATGCACTACAAAAAAAAGCCTATTACCTACGGATACAAATCCGTAGGTAAATTTTACATTACCTACGGATATTACCTATGGAATTAAACTAAAAGAATTGTCACTAACGAGAATCGAACTCGATACCTTAAAGTTGAAAATCGATACTTCAACCACTAAACTATTAGGATATTCTACTAATAATTTACAACTAAATTATACTTATATTTATTCGTGTAAATATATAAATACATAAATATATAAATACATAAATACATAAATATATAAATACATAAATACATAAATATATAAATACATAAATATAAATATATAAATATATAAATATATAAATATATAAATACATAAATATATAAATATAAATATATAAATACAAATATATAAATACAAATATATAAATATATCAAATATAAATATATTTTATATTTATATATTTTATATTTATATATTTTATATTTATATATTTTATATTTATATATTTTACATGGATATATATTTATAAATTATATATTTTATATTTATGTATTTTATATTTATATATTCTATATTTATATATCTACTGATAAATTATAGCTATAATTTGGTTGTAAATTATTATCAAAATATCCTAATAGCTTACTTGAGATCGCTCAACTCGGCGTTCGAATCCTGCCAATGACAATTCCCTTAATCTAATAATAATTCAAAGTTTCGAAAATATAATATTAAAGGGGAGGGGGTATTAATAAATAAAAATATTTTGTTTAGGTAAGTGCATTACCTATGGATTATAATCCGTAGGTAATTTCAGCGAGTGCATTACCTACGGAAAAAAATCCATAGGTAATTACCTATGACCAAATTACATACGGATTTTCTACGGAAAGAAATCCGTAGGTAAAGTGACATTACCTACGGATTTCTTTCATTACCTACGGATTTTACCCATAGATAATAAGCATTTTTTTTTGTAGTGATGGTTATATAAAATCAAGTAACCAGAACCACAATATTATTCTCATAATGGTACAAGGATAAAGAGTTCAACGTATATGTATAAAATCACATGCAAACTGCATTCACATTCTGTTGGTTGACAGAGAAAATATATATGTCTAGAAAAGAAAAGCAAAAATCTCATAATGTATAAGAATAAAGTTTCAAATTTTTATTGTCAAGAGAAGAAAACCGAGCAGTATATGCCAACGACCATGAAGAAAGTTGTTTATGAAAAAGTAGCCAAGCCATGATTCCACCTTTGAGAAAACCAGCCGGGTTTAACTCGATGAAAGATTTTTTTTTTTTTTTTCTAGAATTTTTAAGTAGGAGTACTTGTATTTCACACCCTAATTAACTTGGCATTTCTTGTGAGAGAGCTAATGAAGCCAGTGAGAAAGTATTGTTCATATGTATACCTTTGATATTTCAGTGAGAACTCACCTCGGAGAAATGTTCATCTAATTATGCAAAACAAACACAAGAAGTTGATCTCCTTCTTGTCCACAAATGAATTTATTGCTTCTTTTGATAATACTATATAATCCGGTGTGTTAGCTGAAATTCTTATTATACATACTCGAAGAGTCAAAGATAGAATCAAATGCATCATTATTAGAATCTCAGTTAGCATCAAATTAATGGAGCAATTATTTTAAGCTTAAGAAATATATATATATATATATATATATATATATATATATATATATATATATATATATATATATATATATATATATCAAGGACCACGTTGGTTATTGTTCAGAACAAACTAGTAGTTTCTAGATTACTCAGACATTGATCAGATTTACATTATTATATTCACGATGTTGTTTACAGGACCTGCTATTACTCATGCTCCTTTCCACATCTTATGGCTAATACAACAAATTAGCATGACCAGAAAGTTAAATCCATGTAATGACTACAGACTGTAACCCAGTTCATAATCTTGGAACATCCCTTGTGTTAAAAGAGCTGGAGTAGTAGATGAATCCCAGGAATTTGAGGATGCTGATTTGGTATCAGAATCATTGGACCACCAAATCAAGCTGTCCTTTGAGCCATTTATCTCTCTGAAACAATCAAATTCAGCTATCTGATGATCTTCATGTGGCACATAACCCATTGTTCTGTCGTTGAGAATGTCATCTAGTTCAGTTTGCAGTGCACCAAGTTGCTGCAATCCCACATTATTAGTCTGTCCAACAGCCTGATCAGCTCTTGGTGCAAGACTTGAGTGCATTGGATTATTATTGCTCCCAGAAGCAACAAGGGGAACTCCACTGTTACTTAAAGGAATATTCTCCAAAAGATGAACCTGTGGGCTATGGATCTTTGCACCATCATGTTGAGGCTTGTAGATGAACTCATCTTTTTGTCCTTGTTCGAGATGTGGGGAAGGCAAAGCATCTTGCGTCACAGGGTTAGAGCCATCACTCAAAGATTGCAGACTCTGGATCATCTTTTCTTGGAAAGGATGCAACTTAGGCCACAGCGCAGGGTTATTGTAGAAAGAGAAAGGGTTTTGAAGGCTTTGAAGTTGCATGTGCAATTGGAGTCTTTCAAGAGCTGAACTGCTTAGGGCATTTGAATAAGAGTTCTCCTCTATTCCACTATTTGCGTCTTTTCCGTTGAAGTTAGATTGTTTGCGCCTCCCAAGCAATTTCTTCTTCAATCTAGTGTTCCAATAGTTCTTGATGTCGTTATCTGTCCTTCCAGGTAACTGAGCAGCAATTATGGACCACCTACACATATAGATTATGTTGGAACATGTTTTATTAATTTCTAGGGATAACAAAAGAAAAAACATGTGGAGCTAGCTATACAGATTCTAGTGACAAAGAAACAGGACAAACAATTATGTTGAAAAACAACAGCACATGCTCGTAGATAGAGATGGGGTTTTTGAAAGAGAATGACCTGCTACCAATGCTAATGTAAAGGTTGCAGATGATGTTGTCTTCTTCTTCAGTAAATCCACCATGTTTGATGTTAGGTCTCAAGTAATTTAACCACCTAAGTCTGCAACTCTTTCCACATCTCTTGAGCCCTGCGAATTATTTGTATCCATCAATAAGGTTGCATTAACCGATGATATTATTATAACCAAACTTCACCTTTCCAAAGCCAAACTAAATAGGATTACTCTTGGTCTCGAGGGAAAATAAATAATACGATATATATTGATTTATTTATTATCTAAGAAAGGAGAGTACCAATTTTCTGAGGAAGAGCAATCCAATTGCCACCAGTTCCATTCTTTTCAATGTAGGTTTTAAGTGCAGCATCCTCTTCAGGAGACCATGGTCCTTTCTTCACGTTGGCCTTGTCGCAGCATGGAGCTCTACCCATGTTTTTGTGTTGTTATCTCTCTCCAATTAGGTTTTTCTTTCTGTGTTTCGTTGAAGCAAATATCAACTTTGCTAGCTAGGATTGTTGGGAAACTACGGCGAAGGAAGGATGTGATTTATAGGTAGCGAAGTATGGCTGATGTGATTCTTAAAAGGACAAAAAGTCATACACACCTCACCCCCTCCATTCCCTCACTAGCTATTTTCAACTCCATTTTTTTCTTCTAGGGTTTTTTCATTCATCTCTCTTTCTCTGTCTTCCTTTTGGATTAGTTCGGTCACCCGCGTTTAATTATGCATGCAACTGGACAAACGTAACATAAATTTCCTCCTCTTTTTCATAAAAAAATTGCACTGCTTTTTCATAGGTCCATTAGTTTAATACTTGAACCCAATGCTACAAGTATTTGATCAATAGAAGCCTCCATCCTCTTAGTTTGTCGGCATTATCCTTGAAAATGTTCCCTTGTCAAGCCTTCCTAACACATCTTTTTGTATAGACGGGAAATGTACTGCTACCTTCCTATTGCTACTTAATTATTATATCTTCAAATAAAATTACCCTTGTGTCATTAATTAACTCAGAAATTCTCGTGGAAAGGAGACTCATATTGCTTTGATTCAGTCAATAACGTGATCATGTAAAAAGCAAATACATTTGCAAAGAAAATATGAGCATAACTTCTGATTTAATTATTATTTTAGTAGGTACAACGTATATGCAGATTGAGAATGAAAAGAAAATTAGAAAAAAAAAAAGGAAAGTAAAGTTGCAACTTTCTTTCTTCTTCTTTTTTCATTTTGGGAAAACGTTGCATTGCTCATGTAAAAAGGTGATGAGGACGTGTTCTTCGAACTTTTGCTCTTTCCCTTTCTTCTAATCAACGTTGGAATATTTTCCTTTATATGTGTTAGCCATGAATTTCAGATATTCCATGATGGTTGCATTTAAATTAAAATTGAAAAAATATTGCTACAAAATGGTTCATCGATCATGGTGTTGTACGGAGTTGAAATGAAAGATCATAATTAGCCAGTGATATATTTCTTTCTGAAGGTTTCAACATGAGCATTATACAGTTTAAAGCGATTGAAGTGTTTGTCAAACCAATACTCAGATGTTGACGAGTTGATGATGAAAGTTAGAAAAACAATAGTCAATGCCTTGAAAATGTATCCATCGTTTGCTTTCACCACAAAATCATAACCAACTGATTCTTATTTCAAACCACACACCAATAGAAACTGTTATTTCCGTCATATTGTCAAGATATTTCTAACTCAAAATTCATGTTACTCTCAACTGTTTCTCTTCTCCACCGGCCTCAAAAAACACAGTTATCTAGGTGGAACTCTTGATATCATATATAATTTAGTGGCCTAAATAAGATTATTCTTTAAATTTTACTTAGCAAAGTTCTATATCGATATCGTAACCCTTCATCGGTTGGATGTAAAACTACTAAATATATTCATTTCTTATACGAGCTTCACTTACAATTTTGCAGAATAAAAAAGTTAGTGTATATATGTTAATATGTTATGTAGCAGTAGAGATTTATTTATATTTTAAATAATACATTATTTGTTAAAATAAACTAATAAAGTAATAATTTTTTATTTTCAAGCAACTTTATAAACTCAATCGACTGTATACAAGCTTTCAATTCAAAAAATTGATTTGGTTAACATATTTTATAAAAAAAGTATTGAGACTGAAAAAAAAAAAAAAAACTAGTGTTAACATGTGAGGGTTTAGGATGAAAGTTATTGAAATTTAAATTTATATGTGAGATTCATTAAAAGCATAAGAGCTCTATAAAACTTTGTGATTTTAATAAATTTCAGTTGATAAATAAAATTCTATTGCTGATATTCTATTATATATGAAAAGTATATTCTTAATTATTAGTTTATCCAAGTTAATTAGAAGATCAAGACACATTATAGCTCTCGAAATAGCTTGTTATTATACCAGCCTTGAAGCTCGGGGTTGATGGTGCAATAATGTAGCTATAAGATTATAAAATTAAGAAAATGAAAAAGTCAAACATTTGTAAAATTAATGTTTTTCTTTTTTTATCCTTTTGTTTTTAATTTTGTTGTAGGAATTAGTTGAGTTGAGTTAATATCAAACAAAATCCCATTTCATTGTATGTGGGATTTTTTAATTTTTGTTCTTTGTTGCAGTTTGACAAGTTGAGTAGGAGACGGTAAAGACAATAGGAAAGAGTATGAAAAGAAGAAAAGAAGTAAAACCAAACAGAAAGGTCATTGAAATTCAATATTTTTGAGAAGAAAGCACCAGTCATTGACCTTGGTTTCCTCATTTAATACTTCATCTAGGGATTTTTTAATGAATAAGAAGGAAAATAAAGGTCCAGAACCGCACTCACTTAGAAATATAACAAGGGGAAACCATCAAATTCAAAAAGCACTTGGCTCCCAATATTTATAAATATTGATATCTTCATCATCAAATAGTCTCGGATCTTTGGGACGAAGAAAACATGCTTCTGCTTGTCTTTCTCCTTAGCTGAGAATCTTTAAATTGACGCTGCATTTCTTTTTCAAGAAAAAGGTGAAGCTAAATGGGGGGAAAACAACAGTACATTTCATCATCGAGAAGACCAATATCTATTGTAACAACTGGTGAATACAGTTGTGGTAAGTGGTAAACAAGGAAGACGAATTAAAAATTATCTTGCTAATTGTTCTTGTTCTTATCTAGATTAAGTGGTTGATGATTTCTGAACTATCTTAATAGTTGCTGAAATGAAGGAAAAATCTACCACACTCTCCAATATGAGCAAATAGAGAATATGAAAAAATGATTTAAAGATGAATAACTTTTATGGGATAAAATTTAGATAACAATCCAAAATTCATAGACTCATTATCCCTGATTTATTGAACTGGACACCTATATCTCGGAGATATATCCTTCAACAAATTTCATTACTTGGTTTTGCTTTTTGGTACATGATTGATTAGCCTTTATGCTGATCCAAGGAAATATAACTTTGCTATCATGACACCTGTGATTCACTTTCTTTAATTTACTCTTTTAATTAGTAGAGTTAAGATAAGCATGAGATTGAAAAAAGTCGTTTCAGTATAAAAAGAACCACCGATTCGCACAAAGATCACACTCTTGTATCTGTCGTCACTAGGGTTGACGAAGATGCTGTTAGTAGACTTGGACGCTAAACATTTATTTATACCAACAAAATGCAGCACCAATTCTTCTTTAAAATCACATTATTCACTAATTTGCAGACCTACGTATACGTGTGTCTCTTGCTATTAGATAACCATAAATCAGTGAATACTTTTAATCTGTTATTATCCCCGTTTCATGCACTTTTTGTAAAATATTACCAACACAACACATGTGAATACAATAAACAGACCCAGTTCAACTTGGTCTCTAATTAATCCATCCCTTTCTCGAGTCACACCCCAGAAATGTCGAATGCTAAACCTGTTTCGAGGATTTATTAACTAATTAGAAAGATGGCCATTGAACTAAAATTCTTTTATTGTGAAATGAAATTGTTACGTAATGCTTTTGGTGGTGATTCATGGTGCAGAATGTAGACAAGCGTAAGAAGTGAGGGTAGTTTGACTTTTATGGAGAAGTCAAACCCGTGTGTTAGGTGGTGAATAGAAGTACTGATAGGGCCAAGGGAGGAGTAGATGATGGTGGTGTCACACAAATTGACCTTGTGGATTTTCTTCACATTCAGAGTTGGTGGTAAACTTGATTATAAAATCATTGGAAACCCATTATAATCCTCTCATTGAAACCAATAATTTTACTTTAGATTGATGTGGTATAGGTACACAAAATTAATGGAGTCAACCATGTTAAATTTGTGATTTTTTTGTCACTTAACGTCAAGCTTTGGTGAGTGATTAATTTGTCTTGCCAAAAGAAAGAAAGAAAAAAAAAAAAACTATCTAAATGACGCTTTTCATATTGTTTCGTCAATTACGAGTTATAAACATAAACATGCTCACCAGTTCTATCTTATTCTTGAATATCACCAAATTCCTCAAAAATATGATGCTAACATCACCAGTAATTCATCCTATTCAAATCATTTACTCGTACACTTCAAATTGAATGTCAAAATATTTTAGTTTTTTCTTTTTCTTTTCAATTGCACTAATATTTTTCCTTTGTTTTTTTCGATCTTCTAACATTTGCTAATTCACAAGAATGCTTAACGTGTAAATGAGTTTTTCATAGAAAAAATTTCATTTCTTTAATTAAACTATCAAATGCCACTGCTTACAAATTCAGATCTCAGATATCAAAGTTAAAATTTACTTGTTTTATAATATCAAAGTTAAAATATTATTATTATTATTATTAATATAATAATAATTATTATTATTAAAACATAAAAATTTGAAGTTGTAATATATATCAAAGTTATATTACATAATACAATTTTCTCTTAAAATTAATAAATATAAATATATATATATATATATATATATTTAAAAATAGAAGTTGTATTGTGAAGTATCGATAAATTTTTTTAAAAATTACGTCGTTCTCTTTTCCCTCTTGACTTATGTTGAACGAGAAAGTTGATTTGATTTTATCAAAATTTTATTTATCAAATTATTCGATTAATATAAGAAAAATAAAATTAAACAAATTAATTAAATTAAATCAAATAATATTTTATTTAAGTATGCCTTCAACTCATAAAAATTATTAAATGTATTAATAGAAATAAAAAATAAACATAAATAAAAAATAAATTAGCAATACATTATAAACTTTTAACTAAATAGTTAGAAATAAATGTTTAATATATTGAAACTCTTAACATCAAATGATTTCAACATAACCCAAGTTTAATCTTTAAAAAAAATTATTTATTAGATTTTAACCAAGCTAAATTAATGTAAAACAAAACCGGAGATAATGGTGACTGTGTTCGATTTAAAAAAAAACTTAATATTATTTTATTCTTTACATTTTAATAATAGTTATAATAATAAATTTTGTAAAAGCTGCTTTTAAGTAAAAGAAAAACTTGTTTTGTAATTTTAATTTGTAAACTATTTCATAAAAATGATACATAATGAGTGATACAAAAAAGTATAATAAAATATCAAAACAAACTTTAACTTTGAAAAACTAAACGATAAAAATAGATTTTGAAAACTATTTTAATAAAATAATTATCAAACAATTTTTTTATAAAACTAAAAAATTGTTTTTAAAACAGTAACTAAATAGTCATAATTCTTTGTAAGTTTTTAATTTGAAAAATAAGACTTTGTTGTGTCTTCAATTGACATAAGGAGATATCAATCTACAAATGCACAGGGAAACTCGTTTTTGCATTTTAACTGAAATATACAACAAAAACTAGTATAGCAAGGCACTTTAACTAGACCAATTCATGGTCTTCCAAGACATTACTAGTACACAATATGCAAAAAATTATACTTAACATTATTCGTATGAAAAAATTTACTTTGTTTATGTCATTAAGTATGCACATTCATGTCATTAAGAATATGTCATATCAATATAATAAATCAATTCAAACAAAAATATCGATGAGAAATTGAATTTGTTCCATCAAAATAGGAAACACAATTCGTCGTTATCCTCTCCATGTGAAACCACAGGAGGCATATGTTGGTGGTTGATTTATGTACACATCTCTCCAGAAGGCATGGTTCCTTAGTGATAGTAAAGCCACAACTATTGCTACCATCATCCTCATCACCTGTAAAACTGCAAAAACCCAGTAGAGAACTAATAAAATAACATGTTACCTTTTCTGGCCAGTATGTACGTATTGATAAAATAACTCACACTGTGACATAATGATGTTCCACCACATGTAGCTTTTTCAGACACCATACTGCTTCTGGGAGAGAATCCATGTTATAGTGCAAGTTACTGCATCAAGGAAAATATCATTAAAGGTAACATTACAAAAGTCGTTTTTAGACTAAACCAAGGCATGATATAACGATACAAGCTCGGCTAAGCTTGAATACTCCTTTAAATTATTTTTTGCCCTTTATAAAGCTTGATGGTGCCTTGAACTGGAAGAATCATGCTTCACCTTATTTCCCATTTAACCAATTCTAGGCTACATACAACTTGAGAAGTTCAATTAACTGACTCAAGATCAATAGACTATTTCACATTCATTGAAGCAGCCATACTCCTCAGCTTCTTTGAAATTTCTGAAAATGATGGCCTTTCTACAGGATCAGAAGTCCAACAACTTTCCATTAGAGACTTCCATTCAGGATCACACCATGTTGGGATTTGAGGACGTAAACTGTTGTTCACAATTCCTCCTGCAAAACAAAGTACAACAATGGTGAATTTTGATACATGGCATATTCTACCAGAATATTCAGAACCCAATTGGTGAATGATCAAGACACTCCATCCTTCTGTCCATAGAAATAGACAAGTTTTTATTCATTCTCCATACAACCTAAAAATTCGTAGCAAAGATACTTCGGTACAAGTTATACACAACCTGTTCTCATCCAGTTCGAAAAAATTAAGTTAAATAGTAGAATGAGATGACAGTAGTACATCAGGTATAATTCAGTAAGCACTAGAGCTAAAAAGTATAGTTAGAAATTGATCAAAATATCATCACTGGAACCTGAGCTTCAATTTATACAATTATTATACAACAATGTTTTCTTTTGTGTTCTTTTTTCATTAAGGGAATGTCTTCAAAGATGAATTTAATTTCTCCAATCTCAAAGTCTACATCTTAACAAGGCTTCAAAAACAGCATTGGAAGTCATATATATGGTCCCTCATATGCCAAACTACAACAGCAAATCTGAAAAAGAAAAAAAAAAAAAAAAATAACAAAAAAACTTGTGACAGAAAAACCAGGTAATGTTGTGACACTGAAGACCTACTCCCCCTGGGGTGAGTATGCAATAAGCAACAGACGGGAAAAATTTCGAGAAACCTGACTGCACCTGCTGTATTGGAATGAGATGTGCTGTTCTGGAATTAAGTCACAACTAACAACTCAATTATAAACTCCATACAGAGATCGACACAGAAGACAATTTAGAGAAAAATTAGGTAATGGGAGAAGAGAGAAAGGGAGCAAGAACTACAAGTTAACAACAAAGCGAGACTGACAAAAACAAAATTGCAACAATTCATTTCAGTGTTATCTTGTTTGAATAAATTATAACAGATTCACCCCTACCCATCTGACAAATTTACTTACAGAAAGTATAAACTCAAATTTAAACGCAGTTAGTTAGTGACTTTCTGAGCAAAATATAGTACAAGAGTGTACCAATACTCTTACAAGTAAATTTTTAACAATAATATAAATAGTAAGAATAATTTTGACACATTAAATAGAAGTGTAATATGTAGCAAGACACAAAGTGCTCGTATGCATGTTGTTTGTCACTTGGTTCTCACCTATTATTGAAGCACAATGCATATCAGCATAGGGTTCAGCCCCTGTGAGCAACTCCCACATAACTATTCCGAATGAGTAGACATCAATCTACAGCACAAGCAAGTATATATGCTGATCATCATAAAAAATAAAAAGAGCATCAGTTGTGTAAAGCCAAAACCAGCTATGCCAAGAATACCTTCTCTGATACCATATTGCTTTTCCCGCTAAGAAGTTCAGGTGCCATCCATGGCAAAGTCCCCCGTACTCCACCAGACACTAGTGTGTGCTGTTTAACCTTTGATAAACCCAAATCACCAATCTGAAAAAAATACACAAACATCATTTCAGCCTCCGATAGCAGGTCACTTATGTATGCATCCGTGTGTGTATCTTATGGGCACCTTGCAGACAGGGCGTTGAGGATCCCTCATATTGACCAATAGATTCTCACATTTCAAATCAAAATGCACAATGTCTTTTCCATGCAAATACTCCATCCCAAATGCAGCATCCATGGCTATAATGAGCCTCTTACGACGATCAATTGTTCTGTTAAATTGCTCAGAATAAACAGCATAAATAATACATCACCAGTTCACGAGGGTGTTCAAATGGGGGGTCTTACATTTGAGTGCCTTAAAACATTAAATAGTTATGAAATATAAACCCATGAATGCATCAAATTACCTATCTTTCTTATGCAAGAACTGTTTCAAAGATCCATTAATCATGAACTCTGTGACTGTTGCTAAAGAACTGTCAGGACCATCACGAACAATGCCATAAAAGGAGACAACATTTGGATGATGCAATGAACTCAACATCAATGCCTCCTTCCAGAAATCTGTAATCTGGGGCAACAACCAGAATGAAATCACTATATAGAGTTGGGTGTCTAACAAATGTTTCAATATATGGGATGCGTAGATTTTTATGAAGAACAATAGAGTGACACTGACAATACATCCCTTAGAAGGGCTATACAATAAAACAGCAACTCAACCTGACCCTTGATATCAATCCCAAAAGCAATTCTATATTCTATATTATGCACATTTAATACATTCAAATATTTCTTGTGGAGCAATTTCAGCCTTTTTGAGGAACTCAACAAAGTAACTCTCGCTTTATATCAGTGAAGTTTCTGAACAAGAGATAAAAAGTTTGATACAGAGATTAGAAAATTATTATTCTACAAGGTTTAAATGTATAGTTACTTAAACGAAAGGAAAAACCATCAAACACTAATAATACCAATTTTGCTCTTTCAGATGGCCTTCCAGCAAAACAACTGGCTTTTATTCTCTTAATGGCAACATCAGAACCTTTCCATTTCCCATGGTAGACAGCTCCATAGGTTCCAGAACCAAGCTCGCGGATCTCCTCCAAATCATCATTTTTAATAGTCTGAAAAATTATCAGCCTACCATCAAACCCTAGGATGTGGGAAAAGGAAAGCCAGAGTAGACCTCAAAACATGAAATGATGAGACCGTAATGAGTTTGAGTAAGATGGAAAGAAAACCTGCAATCCCCTAGCAATTGCTTCTTCCTCAGCCTTTGTAGGCTCAATTTTAGAAGTATCTACATGGTCATTTTCAGAGTCCAATTCTAAATCACCATGAGCATTCTACAAGACAAATAAATACAAATAAAAAAAATGAAGCAACACAACCAAACCTTGAAATAAAAGAGAACAGATTCACTTTCAAATTTTGGAAGCAGAAATAAAATCTCTCCTTACTGTTGGCTCTACTTCATTTATTGTTTCTTCTTTGGTATCTGAATTTTGATTCTGAGAATTGGCATGCTCATCAGCTGCAGCTTTCACCTCCTCAGCAACTTCTAATGCAGCCTTTTTTACAGAAGCAATCAACTCAGGCACGAAGCTAAACTGATAACTTAAATTCTTAGAATCTTCTGGAATAGAATGGTCCTTCTCAGCCAGTTTGTCAACATGCCCGCAGTCTCCTTCAGGTTTTGACTTCGAATTATTAGAATCAACAGAAGCAGCAGCTTGACATGCATTCCTAGCAATTTTATTTTGCTCTGAATAAGATACAGTTTTCGTATCAGGGTTTTCGACCTTCTCAATTTTTACAACTATTCCTTCTCCAAGCAAACTATTTGATTCAAAACCCTTTGCTCCAGTCAAATGGGTATCATTTCTTAAAACCTCTTGATTGTGGACTATATTAGAAGATGATTTTGGCAGCTGCAAAGGTTCCAAGCAGGTACCAGTACTCATGTCCTGTGGAGGGTGAATTGTATCTACGGTAACTGGGTATTGATTTTCTTGACAAAGGGGTGTTGGATTCAACTTCAGAGCTTGCGCATACGGATGTTCTGGGATGGCTGTACCATCATGTCCTGTCAATTTCTGCGAGGAATCAACCCATTGATTTTGACTATCTGATCCAACGTAAAATCCTGGACTGCCTTCTCCCTTTATTATTGTCATATTTATCATACCATTCATCTGCGGAGGTGAGGCAGTTGCCTCATAAGATGCTCCCATATGAACTGGAATTGGAGTATTTCTCCAGAATCCAGGTGGATGTCCACGAGGCGCAGCATAATTACTATCTACTCCATAAGCAGAAGTTGAATTTCCATACCGCACATTGCATTCTTCTAGTTGGGGAATTTTTACGTGTGGTATTGGATTCATAGTTTTATCAGGGAAAAGTTCGGGCCCCAATTCAGGTCCAACTTGGTGATGAAGATAGTTGGAAGACAGGGTATGTCCATCAGTCACACTGCCATGCCCAAGAGAGAAATTTATAACTGGAACATCACTCACTCTTCCAGATACAGAGCCGTGTCCTCTTGATTCCTCAACACGAGCAATTGTTGGATGCTGCAAACCCCACCCTCTCTCATGATTCTGAATATCATTATAAACAGACCTATGATCATTATTAGGTTCGTTGGGATACATTGCAGGAAGTAACTTTGCATCATGGTAACCATCCCTATTTGGAAGGGGGCATTCTGCACATGGATTAGCAACAGGTGGAAGTCCATTACTTATATTAGAATGCTCCAGATGTGATTGACCTCTCTGAAAAGCCATGCGACACTGCTCACATATGTTGTTTCCTTCAACAACATGGGGACCATGAAGAATATTGCATGGAAAAGCGGACTTTTCACCATGTGATGCTCCAGTCGGCACCCACAAAACATTGTCAGCATATTGCGGTTGATTATCATACACAGGATGGTGGTTTACATGATGTCGAGCATACTCTTCCGGCACTCTGTCAATGCACTTATCTGGTAACTCCGGAAATGACATTCGGTACCTACTGGATGGCGAAGATGGAAATTCAACCAATGATCTGGAGTCATGGAGACAATGATGCCTAGGGGAATAATAAGCAGGATTCCAAGGAGAATCCATTTCATTATACCTTGGGCCCATAGTTTGCGGGTGCTGGATTGTTATATGATGCAAATTATATGGTGGCATAGATAGGTCCCCACTTCTCTGACTATGAATCCCATTTTCCACACTCATTGGATTAAAAAACTGATCAGGAGACACATGAATATCCTCGACAGGGTTAATCATAGGAAACTCTCCTTGTTGTAACCTCCTAAACTCAGCAACATCATTTAAACTATTCAATGCATCAACATACCTCCTCTCAGAATCATCTCCATCAATGAAATGTGAGGAACCATCCTGCTCGGATTGCGAAAACAAAAATATCCTGAGCCTAGTGAATCCATCCCCTGACCCCAACTTGTCATACTCCTCCATCATGTTAACCACATCATCATCGTTGACGACAGAAACAAGAGCATCAAGATCCTCATCAGGCTGCTGATACTTCAACACAGCAGCCCCATCATACAGCTCTCTCATCTTCCCCATCAACTCCTCATAGCAAATATCTCTACAAACACTCACAATTCGCGTCTCGCCACCAACGTAACGCAGCTTCCCATCTTGGGGACGGGGCATTATGCTCCCCAGAAAGCTGCACAAGAACTTAACACGCGGACTATCTTCGCCGGAACCTGAACCGGCAGCTGGCGATCGAATTGGACTATCCATGATGAAGAATTCTTGCCTTTGATCAATTTCACTCTCACACTCGCTCAAGCATTGAAACCTTTTATTACACATGAGCACCACTTACATCATCACAACTCACGACACATCTTACAACTCCAAACTTTCAGAACCTCAAACAGGGTTACCCACCCAATAGACGAGTCTATAATTTGGAATTATGTCGAAGATTAGGTTAAATATATTAATAAATAAACAAATGACAAATAATGAATAACAGAAGGTCAATCACGTTTCTAGAAACAAAGCCACGAAACCGAAGGCAGAAACAGAAACAAAACAATCTAAGCGAAAACAAGAATCCAAGGGCGCGACTTGTACAGATCCGAATTCAGAGAGAACCATCAGCGATACCTGAGAGGGCCAATAAGGCAATACACAGATAGCAAAATTGAAAATTTGGGAGCGAAAACGTGATCCGGAGGAAAATAATTGATGGGTTTGGACAGAGTTGATGGCTCTCTCAGACACACTATTTTTTGTGGTTTTTGATGCTTTGGGATTGCGAAAGACGGTGAGGTTAGGGGTGGAATTGGGAAGATGAAGAGATGGATTGAGAAGAAATGAAGGCAGAATTGAAAGGGCGGAAGAAGAAGAAGGAGGTGGTGATGGGGGAAACACCATGGGCATATGGAGAGAAGAGAGTGGGGGCAGAGGTTGAAGGTTGCAATTGCAAGATGCGATGGGTGATTGCCATGTAGAGTGCCACGTGGCACTCTCTCTTAACGGTATTTCTTCGCATATTATTTATCTCCCTCGCATATGCCCTTTCTTTTTACGCTCTCTACTGCATGTGACCGCCACACACCTTCAATTTTCTTTTTTTCCTATTTTTCTTTTCTTTTATTTTATTCTATTATTCTTCGCTCAATTTCTTTACACCACCCGTAAATTGTGTTTAGTAATAGTAAGGATGCGTTTTTCTCTAATTAATGATTTGAGAAGTCGTAGAATTTCATTGAGTGGTTGTGATCCATTTGGTGGGGAGAAATATTACTTGAATTTGACTAAAAAAACATTTTAACAGATTATTTTGATTCATATTCTGAGATGATTTTTTATAAAATATCATCGAGATAGGAACTTGTAAATAGTTTTCAATATTCTTATTTAAAATCTAGAAAATATAAATTGCTTATATTGTCTTTAAATATATATATATATATATATATATATATATATATATATATATATATATATATATATATATATATATATATATATATATATATATATATATATATATATATGTGTGGGGGGGGGGGGTGGAAAAAGAATAAACAAAATATGTAAACGAAACTATTGTAAAACTAAATTGAATTATTAAAAAAGATTTTATATCAATTAATTAAATTAAACGTATCTAAACTATTTTTTAATTATTTGAATCATTACTCATCTACAAATTAGTTTAAAGTCTATTTTATAGTTCAGTTTTAAAAAATTATTGACGAAATTGAAATTTTATAAACTAATTTAAAACAACAATTCAATTCAGTTTTTTTTTTAATAAAGTTTGGTAACAGATTAGTTTAATTTAATTTTTTAAATAACTCTACTTATGATGACTCAAACAAATTAATAAACCATTAATCCAAGTGATAGTGAATTTGATCACTTTAAGTAAAAAATTTAAATTTGAATTTTATAAATAAAAAAATGTTATTAAAATAATAATAAAATCATTAAAAATGGTCAATCAAGTTTTCTAAAGCAAAATAATCCTTAACAAAAGTTGGTGAAAATATTGCACAAATTACATGGTATAAATAAAAACTTACCATCAACTTATTAGCTTTGTTAATAAAATTCCTAAGAGTATTATTTAAAGAATTAATTAATAAAATAACGACTAGCTATACTAATAAATATTAGGTAACAGAAGTATCACATTCATATTTTCTTGCTAAAATATTATTAAAATATTTCATTATTTTTTTATTCATAATCCATATAATTATAAAAAACTAGATATTAAACTGGTCCAAAAATCTGACTACATATTAATAAATCTTACGGCATGATCTTTCCATAAAAATATTAAATTTCTGTTAGAATCTTATTTTTGAAAGTTAATTCATTTAAGCACAATCCTACGTGAAAGGATAAAATTTTGTGAAAGTGCAATGAAATTTGAAAACCACTTAAAAACAATTTAGTCATTTTACACACTACTTTTTGGATGGTGTAGAATGAGATCTTCACAGTGAAAAAAGAAAAAGGCTAAAATTAGTTTCACCACGATTCCATTGTATTTTTATGCACATTGAAAAATATTTTTTGTCAAATGGTGCAAATAGCAAGTAGGGCAGGAGTGAATAGTTTAATTAATTCCGATAGGATTTCTTAATATGCGAAGCCAGTCTACGTATGTGATGAAGCATTCCAAAGAAATCTTCCGTCGTATGGTCCATTATATAGAATAATGATGTTAGTAAAGAATTAAAATGACTATATTTGCCCAGTATGCTACCTGCTGTCAGTGGCCTGTACATTAAAATTTCTGTAAGAATTTTAACGCCCCTATTGGTGGATTATTTTTCATTATATTTTTAAAATTTTTCAATGTTTATCCTACCAACAAAAAACAAAACCATGAAAACCAACATTCGTCGAACTTGTAAAATTCTGGCTATAATTTCTTTCTATATCTCAAAACATCCCATAATTTCGTTGCAAGGAACACCTCAACTGACAATTTGAATCAAACATTCCGCAAAGCTATGATAAGGCTTGAGCCATCATGGAACGATATGAGAGCTGCTGTTCATAAAGGCCGCGGAAGATCTTGTATTTGGCATCATGGTACTTTTTGACCTTTGGATCCTTGGATGGATGAATGACCTGCAAAAATTCATGTAAACTGTTAGGCGTTCAGGGAAAACTAGGAGCATCGGTTTTATTTTGTTTAGTGAAACATCTGGCCTACATTGACGACAGGCATGGGAGTGGAAAATCTGACCATCCACCACAGGCAATTGAAATTTAATAGCTAGACTCATCCATTCATCTTCTTGTTGTAATAAAAATTATACGTATCAGTTTTTTCTAACTAGAAACTAGGAAGTATCACATCCAAACTACTTACTGTATATTCTGTCCACACAAAATGCAAAATCGGTAATAGTTTCACAAGGAATTAATCTATTGTATGAACAGAGTCTGCAGTAAACTAAAAAATAACTTTTTATACCATGGAAATATATATTATAAATTTGAATCAATACTACGTTATCTATTCTAATTTATCCATAAATTTCAGTTCCTAATACTTTAATCTTTAGCAACAAATTCTGTAAATGCTGATGATAGCCTTAACAACTATATGACAGCATTAATGGAATTAACCTTGATTACTAATCTGACATTAAAAAACTAATTGTACTTTTTATTTTTCAAAATTTCAACACAGAAAAATCCACACCTGGCCAGGTGCATTCAGGGCTTTCATTGCCTCACTAAGGTTATGATATTTCCTTGTAGCAACTGCACCCAGAATAGCAGCACCCAAGAGCACAGATTCACTTTCCCTTGGAAGAATTATAGCGCAACCTGGGAAAATTATAAACAATATTTATAAAAAAACTAACATACTGATGCCTACAAAAATTATTTATAATATTAGGAGAACTAAACATCAAATAAAGCTTCGATTATCATCCATGTCATTCCTTATAATTTGCAGGACCATACGATCCAAAAACTTGTGCTACTGATGAAGTTTTGCGATACTGGCATGGGTGTTCAAAATTCTGAACTTGGTAGACCAACCAAAGTCTAGATGATTGGTTAAAATTCATCCCAACTACGGGATTTAGTTAAAATAAAATAAAGCTCAGTCCAGTCCAATTTAAGCATACCATGTAGACATATGTAGCACATAAAATCAAGTTCAAACATTTAAATTTACATATATCATACATAAGATTGAAGCTATTGACTCATTATCATGTTTTCGTATTATGAATTATTGCATTTCTTTTTGTTATTTTACTTTAATTATGTAACAAACCAGAGAAGCACCACATAATAACTAAGAATGAAGCAATAGAATAGTAAACAAAACAGTGTAGTATAATCAACGAAAAAGGGGGAAATTGCGGTAGGAAGAAACTCTACTACTGCCAGAGAGCTCTACAGAGAGCCTATACGATAATTTATTTACAAATGTCATATTTCCCCAAAAGAAGAAACCCCATTCTCACCCACGAATACCTATTTGTTTAAGCCTCCTTTCAATTTTTTCTCTCTTCCTGTCAGCTCAGTAATTTCTTCCAGTCTCCCTCTATTCCTCAGTACAACTTTCCAAACTTAGGGCCCATGAGACAGTTGATGGATCAGCTGCCCTTTTGGACCCCCTGAATTGTCTTGCATAATTTTGTCAATATTTTAAATTGGAGTACACTTCATGTCCTTTTTTACATAGAATAAGATCCATAAGATGTAACAAAGATAAGAGTAACTATGTTTATGCAAACATGCTCCTCACCGCACTCCTCAACACATACCAATAATATCAGCATGTTCCTGAATGAAGATAGGATTCTTTGAAAGGCCACCACACGCAAGTAGTGTGTTGATCTGCAGACAAGGGCAGAACAATTATGGTAATAAATTTCATCAACTCTGCATCAACAAAAAGATGTAATGACTTGGGAACAGGGATATACAACAATACAAATCATTTTAGCCACTTGTAAAGATACTATAAAATGATGTTAATAACCAAATCACAAAATATGATCCTTACATGACGGACAGTGGACCAATTGTCTCAAGGACCAAAGGTTTGGAAGGTGCACAAGGATGAAGAGAGTGGTTAAGGTGGCAGACCAAGTGGAATTACTGAGTAGCATCCAGCGGGTATAGTGAAATGAGAGTGATAATTTTAGGAGAGGTTGGCAGAGAGTTTGAATGATTATTATCTAGTTCATCAGTAAGCTGATGATAGAGTTGTGTTTTCTTAAGCATCTATTTTCTACCTTTCAGTTCTTTTTCTTTTTCTGTAATCCATCAAATGACATACACAAGATTGAGCACCATAGCTTAATTGCCTAGCCTCCACTATAATCTGAGCATTTTGCTTCAAAAAATTGTAGTGCTGATGATTTCTCTCACTTGACAGAATAGGTTAGTTAGAATCAGTTCTCACACTCATGCTTAAAAGCTTAAGAATTTCAATCAAGTATTTATTTTGAAACTAAAGGTATCAGTATTATTAAACAATAAGCTCTGCAGTAAAGTAGAATATGATTTTATTTATCTCTAACTTTGTCGATGCAACCAGTGAGCAACATACTTGTGGCAAATCATGGTGGTTGAACATTGTCCAACTCAACCATAGAAATTAGTGTGTGGTAAATTCTTTTTCTAAGTTTCACAATAGACATATCATGACTCGATCACCTAAATGACCACTCCCACAAAACAAAAATCCTAATTATTGTAGTGTATAATAATGCATAGAATATTTCCTTATTCATCATGCAGTTGTAATAAGGATTTCTTCTAATTTCCCCCTTACTGTTACTATATACAGATTTGTAACTAACAAATTTTAGGTTCGTATCTATGTCCATGTCTATATATTGTACTTGTACCTACTGCTCTAAATTATAATATCCTCTCTTTTTTTTCAGTTATCTTTTGAAGTCTGACCCCTAACAAATAATAATCACTGCCTCCATTTATTGATAGTTATGGAACAATGGCGTTGGATTTGAGTGCACTAATTATACGCCTATGGACAATGTTCAAGACCTATCATTTGCTCCTATAGTTAAAAACTACAAAAAAGAATAATCACCAGTTTTAAAAAAATACAGTGGAAATAAAAATGTAATCATCTATTGCTTGTTAACTTCATTAGTTTTTTTCTTTTCTTTTTTTTTTTTTTTTTGCTCCAATATGCACAACCTTACTTTAAAGGATGCGTGATGCAAGCAAAACAGCATTATAGCAAGGTGCATCTTCGTGGATGTGGGCATGTGATAAGAATCTTCAGAAAACCGTGCTACAAAAACTAGTTGTTGTGGTTCAGTTCAAGGCCTTACCAACCCCACACTAAAATTTCAAGCTTAAAATGTGAGACTCAAGTTGCATACTCTGTAATTTGATTCTGACAGTGTAAACATGAAATGATTGCTAAAAACTGACGAACCCAAAAAACAAGTGATAACCTCAAACATGTCGTAGCATTGTAATCCTTACTTTGTGGCCGTTAGCATTGCAATGCTCTACAATGTGACGTGTGCCATACGCAATGCCCTGCACAGCTGCCAGGTAAAGAAGAGCCAACTGCTTCTCACTTGTGTCAAGTGTCAAACCATAGATGACACCTTTTGCTTTTGGATCTGCAATGGGAGACCTGAACCATAAAATATATCAGCCGATTATTTAGCAGCCACTATGGCATGACAGGTGGGAAAGCTGTTGTTTGTCACCAAATACCTATTCCCATGGAAGTCAGGAAGAACATGTACATCTTCAGTCAAGGCAGCAACATAGGATAGTTTCTGCTCAACCATCATTGTTTCCAACATCTTGTTCAGAAGCTCAAACACTGAGATCTCTGAAATATTAAAGCGCAAAGAATAAGTCATAAGGCATCTCTCAAATCAGACTTGTTAATATAAATATATAGCATATTCCAAACTACGAAAAAAAAAAAAAAAACTTGCGTTGGGAAGCAGCTCGATTTGCAAGGCGTGCAGAAGCGGCATGATTTTCAATTATATAATCCAATAATGCACCAGTAGCACTCTGTCCACCTTCAGTTAGCCAATATTCTGGTACCATTGCTGAAAGTTCGGATAAAGAAAAAAAGCACCACAACATAGAAGTTGCAAGAGAAGCAATGATGAGTGCTTTAATCAATCTAAAATAAAATAGAATAGAATGAAAATTAAACTGGACATCCTCTGGGTGATCCTGTCAAATATAAACTCTAAATTCAGTTAAACTTACTTTTTATCCCTATATCAATTTTCCACAAAAAGGAACTAATCACAAGTAGCCACACGATATCTTTACAAAGACACATACATAGTGTTAACAAGAATACAGTCACAAAAGAAAACATTCAACCCAAATGAAATTTCAGATCCAGGTTTCAACCAGAGTAAATTTTATTCATGAATTTTCAACAAATACCAAGAAACTTACGATATATATATATAAAGAAGGAAGATTTCATTTCTCACTTGAAACTACTCTCAACCATCTTGACATTAAAAATGTTTAAACTGCCTGAATTGCTGCTGTGTAGATCTCCAATAGATAATAAACAAACAATGATTTTTCAAATGTGTACAATCCAAAAGAAAAAGGAACAATATCATCCAGAATTGAGATTTAATTCATAAAATAGAGAAAATAGAATAGTGTACCTGACCAAAACGGACCCCAAACCCCAGGAATGAACAATTTGCTTTGCGATACAGCCATATGGCATGTAGATGTTCCACAAACTAACACCATTCGATTACAAATCGCATCCTTATCATCTTCTAAGGATAAAGAAGTTCTTTTAGTTAAGAAATACAACTGCTTTATCCAAATCTTAAACCACAAATGTAATATATGTCATGACAACCTTCAGCTTCTGATTGTGGCACACTTTCAATTACCCCCACACCACCGGCATGAGCATCAATTAGTGACGTCCCAACAGGAATTCCTGCTACCAGGCCCAGTTCCTGAAATTTTCACATCAAAAGCATTAAAAATACCAGCCATGCCAAAGAAGTTAGTTACATCAACCTGAACCAATCATATATATACAGGAGGGTTGTATTCACGCTCCCAACTAAGCAATGTATTTTAGCTTTGTTATTGCATCTCAAGGAAGCACCAGTTCAAACTTCGAAATAATACATATGCTCTTGCCTTTGCCGCAGTAGGAGTAAGACCAGAACCCAAAGGATGGCCAGGGAATGCAACACTTCGTCCTGTCATTATGATATACTATAAACTTAAGCAGTGAGAAGACAGAAGCAACAATGAATGCAACAAACATAGATGATCAATCATAAGCTGCTTACTGATGCCAGTTTTCATCAGATCAATTGATCAAGCATGAACATGAGAACTCTTTATAAATGTGAAATTTACAACATTAAAATTTAATCATACATGATCATATTGACCCAACATTGTTTCTTCATATTGAACTTCCAAAGGGAGAAAAGAAATGAGTTCAATATAAAGCTAAGGTGGATGGCAGATTTTTTGCAGTTGCACAAGATGACTAGATTATTTCCTGAAATTTAAAAATTGCAAGACATGTAACAAAACTTTGATATAAATATATATTCCTCATCTGAGGTTATTAATTGTACAAAATCTTCATGTTTAATTTTAGATAGAAAAAATCATTTGCAGATAGAAAATACAAAAATATATAGCATTTACTACAGATGGTGGGAATCCATTTACTCAAGAAAAAAGTTTCATTAAACTCACTCTGTTTAATACTCTTTTTTTCTGTATATTGAATTTATCAATCTACCAATTGAATTAAAATTCTTATTAAGTATATCAAGTCTATAAAATTCATCAATTAACTTTATTCCAATGTATTAGGTACTTTTCAAAGTATAAGTAAACATTGACTATTAAATTATATACCTATCAATTTTATTTACAATTTGGTATGGATGATCATCAAGATAATATTCAATGATTGAATGGCTATATTTGTTAAACTCGTGTTATATTATATAAAATGTTATTGAGTGAAATGTCCAAGACTTATTACACCTATAGTATGTGAATTCCTTCCTTTCTCTAAATTTTCACATGCTTTCACCTAATAGGTTAAACTATTTTAGATGGTTATGTTTACATGATACCAAAGCCTCTATGAACAAGTGAAAATGTTTGAGCCATTCACACACACACACACACACTTCAAGCCCAAAAAGTAAATGCATGAGGCAGGTAATATCATTTTCCGTGCTTTGGTCAAGCAACTTAATCTTTTGAGACAGTTGATTCTTAACAAGGCCAAGGTTAAAAAAATAAATACCTATCTTAGCATGATGTCCTTCAATAAGATCACCCAAACCAATTTCCTCCCAAAAGTCATCATCCCATCCACAAGCTTCCATATCTCGAGAGAATTTATCATCGACATGTTGCATGTGTGCATGACCCAAATATGTCCATTTACAAACAGTGGTGCATAGACTGCGAGTATCATCCCCGGTTGCCCTAAATAATTGCTGAAAATTAATCCAAGTGAAGTGCCGCCAGACTCAAACACAAATTGGTCTTGAACATAGAGAAGACTTCAACTACATAGAGTACCTGTATGACAACCAATCGCTCAAGTCCATCCACCGGAAAACCATTGACCAAGATTCTTGCAAATTTTCTTTAACCCATAGAAGCTGAAAAGTTAGATTATATTAGTAAAAAAAATTTGTTACAAAATTATATTTCTGACTGTTGGCCTTCCGTTAATTCATTAAAACATTGGGTGAATGGTATTTTGATGTGTCTTGCAATATCCATAATTCAATCAATGAATATTAGACATCACATGGTGAGTTTAGTTGGATGGTGTAGCCTATAATTGAATGTAATCATGATGGGTGGAAACACTTCGACTCTTCATGAAAAAGGTGTTATTTAAATGGACATGGGGCCCTGAAAAGACATAAATGAACCATTGGAGCCCTTCAAGAGAAGGAAGTTCTGCTCTCTACTTCATATATATATATATACACACACACACACATTCATATCTCTGTCTGTGTGTGTCCCGGAACATATGGTAGAGACCTCTGATCTACATAAACCTACCCATTAAGTTTAAAAAAAGGGAGAAAATATCATATGTTACAAATCAAGGAAATCTAAGCCGTTCAAGTGAACTTATGTTGATGAAACAATGTCATCAAGAGATAAATACCATACACCTTTCCTAATATTTTTGATGTCCTAATTCATGTAACTATGACCCAAAAGTTAAAACAAGAACTCAGCCATACATGTTAAAAATCCTATAAATTGTGCCTAGCAGGTCGCCCACTCAGATTAATTATGATGTTCCTAAACATAATCCAGTATATATTACAAGGCCCTATTCCAGTTACAGATGTGCCATTTAACACTTTCAGAGATCATTGCCATCATCAACAGATATGCAATCATTCCCATACTCTAAACTTCTGCAATTAATTTCCTTTTTTACAACAAAACAGCATGTAAGCCAGAGAATGCTTGCAATAGAAGTTACTAGACAGTATAATGTGTACAGGGGCCAGTAGAGAAATGATGGAACTGCTTCAGATAGTACCTTTGGAGGCTCCATTTCAGGTGAAACAGCTCCACCACAGTACTCCAATACAGGTGATTTAGAGGAATTGATCCTTTCAGCTTGCTCTACGGCTCTATGATCCATCCATACAATTACATTTCTTCTTGAATCACCACTCCAAGAAACCGAAACAGGTGAGCTGTCAGAATCCACTGCAACTGTTTTAATACAAAAACAATCAGTTACATTCAAATAAAGCTAAAGCTAAATAGTCCATCCTGTTAAAGAGGGAGGGGGGGCAACAATGTCAAAACTATAACTTACCAAGAGAACAAGTTGCTGCAAATCCTAGACTCTGAACTTCTGTTGGTGCAACTTTAGCTTTAGAGCAAGCTGATTTTACAGCTGCACAAACTGCAAGCCATATATCTGTAGAAGATTGCTGTTTAGAACAAAAAGATGAATAAGATTGATTTCAACTTAAAGAGACAAGGTTCAAACATGAAACTCCAGCCATCCAGAAGCTTTAGTATATAATATAGCCTCACATAACATTGAGCACCTGACACACAAATTTGGGACTCTTAATACTACTATTTTGAAAACCGGATTGGATCAGCCAGTTCAACAGATTTAACCGAGAACTGGTCTAAAAACTAATTTGTTACTTTCAAATAACCGATTTAATTAAACCAGGACAAAATGGGAAAAACTGGTAAAACCGGCTGGCTCTTTAGGATCGAATCAATTTTCATAAAAAATAAAGATCAATTTTTTTAAATATAGTTTTTTTATAAAAGATATAATATATTATAATTTTTTTTATCTCATATTAGCTACGACAATCTTAAATAATTGTTATTTTATTGTATTTTCATCTTACTTTAACTATTATTCATCTTATACTCTTTAATATATTTTATATTTATACTCTTCATTGTAGCTTATAATGACCATGATAATAACATTTATTATTTTTCTTTCTTTTGAAAAAACATTATTACTAATGAACCTTTTATATACTTGTTATATTATAAAAATATTATTTTATTTAATCCGGTTGAATCCCGATTGAACCCATATCTTCACCGATTCAGTGACCAGTTGGGTTTTAAAAACATTAGTTAATAACCTTTCTTGCAAATGGCCAACACAAACAATACACAAATCCTGAGCACTTTCCCTTTGATTTTCACAACCAACTAAACAAGGTAGGGAAGGACATGCTGCCCTACGTACTAAGCAAGTATGTCATGTTATTTCTTCCAGAGGCTGTAATTAATTACTATAACACTGGCTTCATCCTTCAGGTAACAAATTTACCCAGAAAAAGAAAATAAATTACCTCAACACAGGCACCATCTTTCCATATCTGAATTGGGCTGCTTGACGAACCAAGAAGCTTTCCTTTCTTATCAAACAGACCTGTATTAGAATAGCATCACCAGAAAAGGACCGGATCATGTACATTGTACACCATCTTGTCATATCTAATAACCTAATAGTTTATTTGCATACACACATACTGCTGGCAGCACAAAAGCATTATGGGTTTAATAAAAGCAACCACTTCTATTAAAAATGAGGAAGGTAAATATGTAAAAGTAGTAACTAAACGTATGAAAAGTTGAAAACAACAGGAAAATACAAAGGTAGAAGAGATATAAATTTCAAAAAAATACAAACACAACAATAAAAGCCTTGCCAAATGCGTGAGGTCAGCTACATGAATATAACTTTCAAGAAGAAATAATTAAAAGTTGAAGATTGTTAATTTGCATGAAGTCCTGATTCCAACCTCCTTAGAGCTTTTGTACATCCACAAAATGAGGATTATGTTTTTAGTATCAAAAATTCTGAACGACCATTTGAAGTAACAAAACCGGTCTCTCCATATAGAAATATTTGGACATGTTTTTTCATAAACGCTTTCAAGAGAGAATAAATAAATGAATTTCCATAGCCTAAAGTTGGGTTATGTACAAACTAACAAAAAAAAAATTTAGATAGGCTACATAACAAAGTTTATACAAATTAGCTTATTTAAGTTCAGGAGAAGCTAATTTCAATTTTTCTTATTTTTCGACTCAAGTATTTACTTTTATCTCCTAGAAGTTAATTATATCATCTTGGACAAAATTTCAACCAAGTGAGCACGTTAAAAAAGAGGACAACGAGAGTACAGGACCAGCACTGCTTAAGTGCTTAATGCTCCAAATGCTAGTTTCATTTTTCAGTAGCGACTGGTCACTGCTTAGCAACTGAACACGGAGAAAATCGCACGTTGAAAAATGAAAATCGTCAAGCATCCAATAAGTCAAAACATTATAATTCACATTTCATTTTAACGGAAATTTCCAATATAAAATTCGCGATGTGGGTTGTGGAAGCGAACCTGCACGAGCGCTGCCGGTGCCGACGTCAACACCGAGGAAGACGGAGCCTGAAGGCGCGTCGGGAGAGGGAGAAGCGGCCATTTCTAAGGAGAGAGTGTCTATCGGACGAAACCCTTCTTGTGCAGAACGTTATGGATAGATAGCTTCTTCTTTGGCTCTATTTATCTTTGTTCTGATTTGCTTTCTTTCCCTATCAGATATTTCGAATATGGATTGTCAGCATTCATCGATCATCACTGGTTTTGATTGCAAGTAATTTCATTTCTGTGGTATGGTTGCAGAACAGTGCTAAAAAACACCTAGGTGGTAAAGAAAGTCTAAATTTTCCTTTTCAACCTTTTCTTTTTAGAAACTTTTTTTTTTTTTTAAGTTGTTTTAGTTTTCAGGTTGATAGTTTATAATAATAATAATCATAAATGTTTTATATTTTTAAATGATTTTAAGATAATGATGATTAAGTTTATCACAATATTGTAACGTTTTTAATCACTAGTCTAATAATTTTAATTTATAGAAATATTTTTTAATGTAACTATTTTAATCTGATAGTAACATGTTCTCCAATCAAACAAATGGCATGGATGAACCCACCAAAAATATCAATTTTCCAGTTGAATTATTAATACAGAGTCCTTTTTGAAACAGATATATAGTGCAACAATAAAGTAAGGGGAAAATGATTCATTTTTAATTGATAATTATTTTTTAATAACTAACTCTTTTTTTATATTTAAAAAATAATAATCACCTAACTAAACTTGAATAAATAAATAAAGTTTGAGAATATAAAAAAAAATTAGAGTGAATTATTTTATTATAAAAAATATTTTAATTTTTTTTATATTAAACTGCTTTTATAAAATATGAAAAAAAATTACGTTTATGTTTATTGAATGACATAAATAAACATTTATCATTTTTATATTATTAATAAAGTAAAATTATTATATAATTGCGTTAGAAACTTTGATTTTTTATTTATATTTTTAATAGTTTTATTAGGTTTCTTGTCATTATGGTTTTTTTAATATAGTGGTACTTGGAGACTGATTTCTTTTCTTTTTTTATCTTATTGGTACCGTGTTTGGAGACTGATTTCTTTTTTTTTATCCTATTGGTACCGTGTAGGGATGGCAAAACGGACCAGCCGCATGCCTTTGGCCTGCTAAAGCGGGCGGACGTGGCTGGCCGATATAGTCATGACGAGCTGTAGACCTTGGCCCGCCCGCCAAAGAGCTGGCATGCTGGCATGCTGGCGGCTGGCCCGCCATAATTTAGAAAAAATAAAATTGTTTAAATAAATTTTTTAATAAATTTAATAATAAAATTATTATTTGTTTGTCAATCATTCAATATATATATATATATATATATATATATATATATATATATATTATTTCAATTTAATAATATAAATCAATACATTATTTTAAGAAATTATAATTTAGAACAATAATAAAATTTACATAATAATAAATAATAACAAATATATATATATATAAATAACGTTAAACTTATAAATTTTTTATTTTTTATTTCGAAAAATTTAAATACCTATATTTTTTTTATTTGATAAAACTTCACGTTATTCTTGGTTGAGTAATTCTTACACCTTTAATTCAAGTAATAAAGATAAAAATAATCAGTGCTTAGGATAAATAAGGAAAACATGAGAGAAGGTTATAGTTCAAGAAGGAGAATATTTTCCGTGAGGATGAAACTTTTTTAATTCTTTTTTTAAAATTTTTAACTTTATATATTATCTTTATAATTAATTTTATTACAATAAAAAATATTTTTTATTAATTAGGCGGGCCGCGGCTGGTGGACTAAAAACACCAACCCACCCCCATATTATGACGGGCTGGCGGGCCGGCCCGCTGGGCCTAGCCCGTTTTGCCATCCTTATTACCGTGAAAGGTACTTAATATCTAATTGTTTAATATAAATATGTACTAGTAAAATGGAAAGAGTGATTCTTACATTGTACTCTTTCCATTCCATATTTACACATGTTTTTGACAATTTATTAAGTTTTTTTCATCTCGCTTGCATTTATTCTCTTACCATTTACATATGTCATTCTATAATTAATTTTTCACAAAATATTGAAAATTAAAAAATTAATTTTAATTATAATTTAAAATATATTTATAAATATATTTAGTTCATATCTAAATAAAATACATATTTAAAAAAAATAATATTTTAATATATTTAAAAGTTATTTTTAAGCAACATAAATATTTTTAAAATTATAAATAATTTATTTATTTAATTAAATAATATATATTTTTATGAAAAATATTGTAGAATTTAATATTTTTAATAAATCATTAATTATTTTTACATATTTAATAAATTGGATCCATTTTATATGATAAAATAATTTTTTACATTAATTAATAAGTTATTAAGTTAACATTCACATTATTTATAATTTTGAAAACATCTCTTTTAGTTTAACATAATTTTAATAAATTTAACAAAATTTTTTTAAAATATATATTTAATTTATATTTATATTAAATTATATATTTTAAAATATAATATCTAAAATTTAATTAATTTTTTATTTTAAGTTACTTATGAAAAATATTTAAAGAATAACAAATGAATGAAGATAAATTTATAATAATGAAAGAAAAATAAAAAAATATTAAATAAAATATATTGAGTTGTCCATTGCGTATGTAAATTCGAGGAGGTGATTAAATATAAACAATTTCTCTTAATAATTTATTATCTTTTTTATTTAATAAATAAAATAATTAAAAAAATATATATATAATGTTAGAATCGCTAGCTGAATGTTCGCGTGGTCGAACAAAAACCAAGAGGGGGTGAATTGGTTTCTTAATAAAAATTAGGTTTTCAAAATTTTCCCCAAATTTTACCGATTAAAAGCTGCGTAAATGTAAATAGAGAAGAGTAGAGAAGATTACACAGTAAGTTTATACTGGTTCGGATCAAAAGACCCTACGTCCAGTTGCTAATCACTCAAAAGAGGATTAACGCTGTCACTAAGAACAAATTGTTACAAACAGTTTACAAATCAAAGAGATAAAGTAAAGACAACACCTCTCTTGAAATCCACAAGAGATGAAGAACAGCTTTCCCCAGAGACGGCACAACACACAATCCACTAAGAACTCCACTTAGTGATTCTTATCGCTTCTAGCCCACACCAGGTTCCAAAAGCCCCCTTTCCTTGCAACAAACAGTTCTCTGGCACTCACAGCACTTAACTTTTGTATGGAAAGAGTTGTTCTTCTTTTTCTGAGTGCCAAAGGAGAGTTTAAGTAGGGAAATTAGGGTTTAGGAATTGGGGATTTCGAAACTAGGGTTCTTGGTAATTGGGTTTTCGAAAATAGGGTTTGTTTGAAGTTTAAAATCAGAAACAGACTGAAATAATCGATTAAATGGAGTTTTAATCGATTAAAACAGAGCCAAAAAAACAGAACCCAAAACCTCTCTGTTTTAATCGATTATTTGAAGTTTTAATCGATTATTTGACCTTTTAATCGATTATTTTGATGTTTTAATCGATTAAAACAGTGAGTATATACTGAAAATGGTTTTCTCACTGTTTTAATCGATTATTTCCCTATATAATCGATTAAAGCCGAGCCTGGATGATATATTTGGGCTTTTTGAAGCTTCTAAGTTACAGACTATGTACCGGCTATCTTAGATTCTATAATTACAGACTCAATCAAACTAAAACAGAGTTATTACAATACAGAAATCATCAATCTTCAATCTTCAATACTCTAAGTCTTTAAGCTTTTGGATCATCATCAAAATCAACATTCTTCATGATCATTATTTGCAACATCAAGTCCTTGAATGTTCAACAATCTCCCCCTTTTTGATGATGATCAAAATTATCTTTTTAAAGCCCTTGTAATAACCTGTTTTATCTGTCATACTAACAAATACATTAAACATACCAGATAAAATTTAATATTGAATCATAGGCTTTAAATTTTTCTTCCCCTATTTTGATTATAATCAAAAAGAACCCTGCAACATCAATCATAAGAGCTCCCCCTCAAAATATGCATAATTTAGAGAAAGCTCCCCCTCAATCATAGCATGAAAGAAACATCAAATTTTATTTCATAATCATTCATTCATTACAATATAAAGATATTAATAAAATCTAAAATTCTTCACTATCCTCATCATTAAAGTGAGTATCAAATCTATTTTCTAATCTACCCACTCTATCATCTACATCGGATATACGGCGAATAATTTCATCATGCCGTACACCAGAAAGATTGAAGAATGATTGCATTCTTTGATTCATGTCGGAAAGCATATCTTCCATGGATTGTCTTGATTCTTGATGAGAAGAGGATGTTCCTATATTTTGGATTTGGGTAGAGGGAAATTCAGCTGCTGGAGACATATCTTCATCCGAGTCTTCAATTGCATCACCTTGATTTTGAACGTCATCTTTATGAACATAGATGTCATTGACCCGCACCATTTGTAGATGAATCAAAGTGCTGTCTAGCATGCGGTTCAAGTTAGTAGTTCGGACAACTTGTTCACCTTCGACATTGACTCCTTTATATTCAAGAATTCGGGATACAAGAAGAGCATATGGAATTTTGAATGTTGGATGACGTTTGGCCTTTAACATTGTCATTGTGACAAGAACACCCCAATCTAAAGGTTCATTATTCATTATGGCATGAATAATGCGAAGATCAATAGAAGAGCATTGGACATGATTTGTGGCCCGGGGACATAAAATCCAGACAAGCAAATGAAGAATCATGCGTTCTTCCTTCTTCAAGGGTCCAGCATGAAGAATACGTCCAATCTCCATGGAGGGATTCCGCAAAAAAGATCTATAAGCTAGGAACCTGTCAAAATCATCTAGCTCACCATAAACGTTAATAGCATCTTCTCTAATTGGGAAGTGAGCAACATTTTCCCAAATATCATCATCTAGAATTATGGTCACTCCTTTGACACGGGATGTAGCAATTTGATCCCTAAACTTAAATCTAGAAAAGAATACCCTAACTAAGTCAGGATAGTAAGTACCTTGCATTTGGATAAAT